TAGTTATAATTATTAGTTATAATTATTAGTTATAATTATTAGTTATAATTATTAGTTATAATTATTAGTTATAATTATTAGTTATAATTAGTTATAATTATTAGTTATAATTAATAGTTATAATTAATAGTTATAATTAATAGTTATAATTAATAGTTATAATTATTAGTTATAATTATAATAATGCTTTATGATATTTAATCACATTATTAATTTATATAACTTGTGTTTATAGGTGATAAAAATATTGGTAGATCAAACTTTAGTAAACATATGTCGACCTGCAACTGCCATAATCATAAAACTAGTCACTGCTGATAAAAACTCCACTACTTCTCCAATACGGTCTTATGGTTTTGATGTATTACATGAAGCGATATTGCTTCAACCCAATTGTCTACCTACTTTAGTGCAACGCTTTGCTTCGGCTGACTATGTGTTACGTTCAAACAGTTTATGTTTAATTAATGCCCTTATGAGACATGTTACTGATCAGTATTGGGAATCATTTATGGACATGTTGGACAGGCTGAATGTTAGAAAAGCCGTTGCTGTATGTTTAAATAATCTTAATCAAATTTAATTAAATTGTGTTCTTGTTTGAGCATGATAATTAAGATGTGATAATTTATGTATAATAATTTATGTTAACGGCGCAATATTTATTCTTTTTTTTTTAGCTTTTGATGAATGGTGTTCATGGGGAAGAATTATCAAAACATTTATTAGAATTCCAATCATTGTTTGTTCGTCAAGCATATAGATGGAAAAGGACACAAGTGTCGTTACATATTCCATCCCATAAAGTTATGTTGGAAGGAATTTGGAAATCAGCAAATTTATCTGATGAAGGTGGCAAATGGAGAAAAGTCGGTTTTGCGGTAATAATTTGATTTGAATATTGTGTTTATTTAATAATGTCTTAAAATATTATGTTAAAATTATGTTAATATACTTGTGTATTATATAAAAGACGGAAGCGCCAAAATGGGAAATTCAACGTGTCGGATATTTAGGACTTGAGAATATGCATGGTTTTATGAAAAAAAACCCAGATGAATATCAAAAAGTAAGGTCATAAGCTAAACCAATTTTGTACATTACCGTTTACCACTACGTATCTTAGGCTATAGAAAAAGTAATTATGGGATTGGTGTCAATGCTCAAATTTATTTGACATAAGAAAGTAGCTACTCTTTATTTGTGAACGATTACATCTCTATGTGTATCATGCTCGGAGTCTTATTCAAGATTCCATACTTTTTGAATTAATTAATACCTTTATGGAACGGGTACTATATTGAGTGCAAATTAATCAAGAATTAGGCCTACATGAATAGTATGAATAATGATGAGTACTTAAGTCTTAGTCAATAAAAATTATTTCAATGGGATCTTATATATAGTGGTAAACGGTAATTGTTAATTCCTAGAAAGAGAGCCTACAAAATATTTTAGTTAAAGATTACACTTTAGCGGTAATTCTGTCAACTGATTAGCATATTTGATATACGCATAGACGATATTAGAACAGATCAATCGGCCTGCCGAACGTCGATGTCCGTTTGCGAAAACATCTATCGAAGTCACAGAATTACTATGTGATTATTGGGACATTAGCACAGGATGTAAGAAGTATTTTCGTATATTACCGTATTATATTTTGTTATATTTAAATTTTAACCACCTTGAACAATTTGAATATATTTTGAATATATTTAAAGATACAACATCGACGTCATTTCAACCTTTATTGTTATCGTTTGAAAAAATCCATTATATAACTGTAAAGGCATTTTTTCGACTATGGAATGATATGGAAGCGACAGTTGATGATTTTCCCAAGGTATCTGCGTTGGTACGAAGTCAATTAAAATTTGCGCTACGTGACGAAGCGACCAAACAACTTTATGAATTTGAAAATGACATGTTGAAAGTTGAATATAAAATTATTAGAGATAGACAATTAAAAGAATTAGAACTTGGTGACGATTTATTAAGTAAAACACCTGTCAGGTTAGTAAGAAATAATTCATTAAACATAATTATATTTCATTCAAAATATTTATACTATTTTTGGAATAGAAATCTACGAGGACAATTGTATACGGAATCTTATGAATTCGTCAAGCAACAACGTATTAAATGTCTGCTATTCGGTGATTGGTTTCCAATGATAACACCAGCAAATATTCCAACAAATCAACAAAATTTAGGTAGAAGATCTATATACAATAAAAAGTGGAGATTTTATAGGCTCAGTCCAAATTTAAAATTTCTTCATTATAGTGATTTTACTGAAAAAACTTTTATAAGAGATGGTGTGGAAGAGTTACCCGAAAGAAGTAAGTTCTTAATTTATTTATTTATTTATTTTACAAATTTAAATGCTATTCAAATTTAATTTAATTTTGGAATTTAATTACTTAATATTACAATAAAGTTGATTTATCTCTAGTAACGGATGTGATGACGGGTTTAACACCACAACTATCAACAAACACAGGTTCGCCAACAAGAAAATCTGTAGGTTCTTCACAGGATCTAATGTTCTCTTTAATGTCTGGACCTGATACTGTACTAGCAGATTTTATGGCATCAGATTATGTACAATTCTCTGAATGGACGGATGGATTGAATATGTTATTTGATAAAAATATTGGAAGCAGAGATACAGCAGAATTCATACATATATTGACAGAAATTGGAGTAAAGGTCAAATTATTGGATTTGAGCGGTGAGGGGGTTGAAATACCACAGAGTGTTGAAGTACCAAGGGAGTTACCCGTTGTTGAAAACGGATTTTATTATGATGATCCTTTTTCTTAGAGTGTGGCATAATTTATTAGTATAATGACAAATTAATTTATATAGAGAATTTGATTTCAGAGTTTGAGGGATTAATTTACATTTCTTATTTATTAGTAATTATTAGTTATAATTATTATTGTATACATGCTTGTAGTTCTAGTTTTTGTTTTTTTAATCTTAAAATGAACTTGAGTTTATCGTGGGGGTGTGCGAAATTATCATTGTATAACTAGTACGTACGTAAAGATATTTTTTTTCAATAGATCTAAATAATAATTTGGCTTCATACATACAATTAATTAAACGTTTCTGGGTTGAGTGTGATGCCATGAGCAAAAGTTTGATTAGTACCCTAGCCATGGCAATTCACCTGACCCTTTCATAGTAAAAATTTGATCATCTAACCAAAATTGGCAGGTGAATGCAGTCGGTTCATAATATATATATATATATTATGAACTGTCGTAAGACTGAAATGATTTTTAAGTTCATAGTCTACTAATTATAACGACCCTCGTATATCAGGTTGATGTTAATGACATGATCTATTATTAAAATATATGATTAGTATATTAACGATTAAGATTGATTACGTTGTTAGATTAATATGTGAAATTTGTATAATTCATAGTCTACGGCTCGAGTGGGTAACAGGTTATGAACTGTCATATGTTATGGTCATGAATCTCAAGTCATCTAGGTGACCACCGATGTGATCAAGTATTGCCAACTTTTGTCATCAGACCATATACCAATTATCATATCGATATGCTGGTTTGGTGACTGTGACTAATTTCCGTCATGGGCAAAAAAATATATCTGATGATGTATTCAACTATGTGTTGTCATTCATGGGCCCAATGTGAGGACTATGCTCGAACCCAGCATGTAATGCCTTAGCCTCTGATTAATCCTTCTATAAAGGTCAGAGTTGAGGACACATAGTGCTGAAATAGTATTTATAATCTTTATATGATGCATTTGAATATCATTGGAGAATGAGGCACATAGTGTCAAATTGTTATCTATTATCCCTTAAACTGTTTTCCAGGCAAATTTGCCTGGAATTCTTAAATTATTTAATAATTGTTATCATAACACAAAACTCTAAAAGCCGCCCTAATGCTTGATTTTTTTAGACCGGAAGAACCTAACCAATCGTTTGATTTCCAGGCAAATTTGCCTGGAAAACAGTAGACGATTTTTTTACCGTTACCGTTACATTAATGATCGTCGATCTAAAAAAAATCGTCTACGTATTGATTTCCAGGTAGTGATTTGAACCGAAAAAAATATCCTTAATCGGTTAACCGAACCGAATTGTTTTATGTCAACCAATTACAACCGGTTAAGATTAATAATTTCTCTTATCTATAGATGTAACCCAAAGATGTTCCAACCATGTGATAATTCGTTAGTTTCGGCTGCTTTTTTCTTATTGCCGAAACCATGTGATACTAAGTGACACATGGTTTGGACGTCCCAAATAGTATGCGTCACAACACTACTCTTATTTCAGAAATTTTCGGAGCTTCACTTAAATTTTTGATTCACCCTTACTTATCTCTTATGTTCATTCAGTTTTTTTTCAGACCTTTTTGTCATTTACATACTTTATCAATCCTACCAACCAGTTACCTGATTCTCGAATGGTTGTACCAAGTTAACTAGTTATCCGAAATTTATTCAGGTCAGGTCGGTTAACCGATTATAGCCTAACCGGTTCAAATCATTAGTATAGATATGCAATTGTTAGATAAAACAATATCATTGTATAATAAAAAAATAAGATGTTAAGAAAACACAATATTAATTCTAGTAATAATAATTTTTGTATCCCTTAAACTGTATTTTAGGCAAATTTGTTTGGAAAATTAAATTATATTTAGTATTTTTTAAATAAAATAATTTATTAATGATATTTTTTTTTTTAAATATTAAGATGAATACTTGTGATTCAGGATTTTATTAATTGTATATTTGGCTAATAGTTGCATTACAATTACAAGAGACAATCATGGAAAGAGTGTACAACTAGTTACTTGTACAACTTTAGTCATTATCTAATTTAAATAGTTTACCTGAAGGTTTTATATTAGCTGTCATACCTGGAATCTGCTTGTAAGTTCTTTATTTAACTATTCTAGTTTTCATATCTACTTACTTACCTTTGCCTACCAATGATCCTGGTTGATGTTGATAAAAATATATTATAGTTACTAAGTCTTTAAAGCAGTTCATTCATATGAAGAACCTTTGACCTTGTACTAAACCTTCTAGAATTTTCTGTATTTTATTCTTATAGCTGATTCAGTATCATTATGACTAAGACCAATACTAGTGGTTAGGGTATACTATTAAATCACTATGCTCTTGTAGAGTTCAACTCAATCCTAATATTGATTTTACAACATATCTTTACTATTTTAGTATTCAATTTAAGTTTCACCAAGTTGTCATTTCAGATAGTCTGGAAAGATAGATTGAAATCATACATTTCTAATTTACATGTTTATCAGTATGTATTCTTTTTCTCTGAAACCTGAAAATTCTAGTAGCCTGGTTGGTTCATCTAGTTCCTCCTTAAAAACTAGCATATTTGTTCAGTTTCATAAGTTCTAGCTCTGTTTCATAAGTCTAATCTTTACAATAATATTGTCAAAGATTTAGATTATCTTTCTACTTGAGTTTTCCAAATAGGCTTCTATCTTCCTATCTAGTTTCTGTGATTTACATAGCCTAAAGACTTATCTTAGATTTACATTGTCTAGTACCAGTTTGTGTTCTTTCATACAATATTATACAAATGTCTAGACCTTTCAGTTATATTGATATAACACTAGTTACAGTTATCTTATTTCAACCAATTATAGAAAACAATTAACTATAACACAGAAAGAATTACAAATTTTCATCATCATTAGGATTTGAACTTTAGACCTGTCACTTGAAGATTGACAATCTATCTACTTTACTAGATCATTATTATTAATAATATATGGTATAGTTTGCTTATAAAATATATTCTTAAAAAACATATTTTATAAACTTTCTTATAAAAAAATTTTTAGAATATTAATAAACTTTTATGTATTAAAATTTTAAAGATTTATTTAAAAATTTTTATTATTAAAAATTTTTCAAAATTTTTTAAGATTTCATATGTTTTTGAAACTACAAAAAAATTTTACACTTTGTATAAGTTTAAATTTTTATAAATAAATTACAAAAATAATACTAATAAAAAAATTATCATTATTTATATAAACTAAAATATTATATTAAGAACTATAAACTTAAAATTAATATTTAAAGAGTTCATCAAAAGTTTATAAATAATTTTTTTGATTAAAAATTTTTTCTAAATTTGTTTATTTTTAGTTTATAAATAATAT